ATAGTGTCTGTGCTCTTTCACACCAGAGCTGGCTGCCAGCATTTGGGAGGGATGCTTCACCTTCTGATTTTATCACAAGATTTTCAAAGAAATACTTACTTTCCTGTTAATCTTAGTTGAATTACAAGAGGATTAATTGATCTGCCATCCCCAGGCACATTTCATGTGAGACACATGGTAGTGACATAGAGTTCTCTTTTACTTGATGCTGTGATATTTGTTTTAAGGCAGCAATCAGTAGATAAATACCTAAATATGTAATAATTTAATATTTAAGGTATGTATCCTGAGGAGGGAACTGATCTAAGAATGCATAATTTGTTAAATGTCAGTAACTAAGCTATAAATGTTGTTATAGCCATAGAAGACTTTACAAAAAGTCTGCCCATATTTAAGGCCTCTCCAGTACATGAAAGAAGAACATAGAAATATGCCTCTGGCATAGTGCAGAGGAGCTTCATGCTGAGAAGATGAACCAGAAAGATCTTCTTTAAAGTAAATAAATACCCACTGAAGAAAAACTCAAGTGTTTAGGTTAGATAACATCTCTATATTGTAGGTTTCTTTCAAAGCAGCAATGTATTTCTTGAACGTTGGAAATCAAGCCTCATTTTAGTGAGGAAATTCATATGTGACGTTCACTAGAGCTTTACAGCTGAATGGTGTTGGCTGTTTTTAAAGTGTGTGTAATACAGCAAAAAAGTATCTGCACCCATGCCAAGAGTGACGCATTTTAAGAGGTAAGGTTGTGAAAGAAGATATAAGGTTATACATTTTGTGTGTAAAAACTGTTTTAGATGACCTTTCTGGAACTGAGTCATGTGTTTGGTTAAAAACAATGGCCCTCTCTTTGGAATGGCTGATAGTTGTGTAATAGCCATCATATGGTTTACGTTCAAAAATGTCTCTGTATTCTGATCCTTCTTGATTTTTGCAGGACCATTACCATGAAGTCAGCAGTAATTCCTGTAAAGTAGAAGAAAAGTATATAGTGAGACAATTGTGTGATGATTCAAAACTTTTTAAACTCTTCAAATGGCCAACTGTCGCCTCTTGCTGCAATTAGATCAATTCTAAATATATATAAAAAAAATGGAATTAGAGGAATTTGCTACAAAAAAATCAATAATAAATTGTAAATGTACCAGTGTAATGATGTTGTCAGGGCAGTATTATGTTGCTTAGTTTTATCAACACTAAAACCAATATAAAATCAGTCGTTTGACACATTGGCTTGTTTTCTGGCTGTAGTTTCATGATAGTTGTCGATCGACAACTGCTTAAAGCAGTCAACAAGTCTTTAGCAAGAAGGAATAGACCAGATTTTTAAATTTCTTGTATTTTACTCTAAAGTGTTGATAGAAATACATATGAGGAAGCCTGTTTGAAAGATGAAAATATATATATCTATAAACACTTTTGGAAGTATTGCTTAAGAACTCAATTCTGCAAATGTACTCAGCATTTCTTTGAAATTTTCTCCATTACTTGCATATTCTTAAATTTACTATCAAGAAAAGATGTAATTGTTAACTTCTAGACTCTTTCTTAAAACCTGTAAAAGGAAGTGTTTCTATTTTTTTGCTTGCCCACATGAAAAAATTCCATAAGATGATTAACGTATGGGGGAGCAAGAAATGTTTTTGAACAAAGGCAGCCTTGCAGATTATCATTCATATGATTTATTTGGTATCCATAGCAAGCTGTTCAGTAAAGACACTGTTTTCTGTCTCTTCCAACTTGTGTATTAGACTATCACAAGACTATTCTTTATGTTTCAGAAGGTCTGCCTTCTGGATTCCAGTTTATACTTAGGGTTTGCTCTTGATTTCTGGATTTCTTGGTCACTTCTTTGATGTAATAATTTCTTGGAATATCCTGTGAATCTGTGCTTCTTGCCCAGGAGTTTGGCATTAAAGCTTAGCTATAGAAAACTAAGGGTTTCTACTTGATGATTTCTGGGTTTTTTTTGGGTTTTTTTTTTTTGCTTAGAAACAAGCTGATAAGCAGTGTAAGAAGAAGGGTATGTTTTACAGGAACCCTCTTGCTGCCACCACTGCACAGTTCTCCATATGAGTCTTTCCTCAGATGTGGAATTTTCATGGCAATTTTTGCAGTCTTCTAAGTGAAAGCTTCTGCTAATGCAAATGTCATAGTGTAATGCAAACTCTTCTTATCTGAAATCTATGATTAGCTGTACAGCTTATGAAAGACAATAAAAAAAGTTCTAATCGCCCTTACATTATTTCCTGCTTTCGTTGCATAGGCAGCTTAGACTTACTAACTTTTTCTTAGGGTTCTGGTTCATAGTCTCTGAGTGTACGTGTAAGAAACTAAGCTGTTGGTTCAGGGTGTCTCACAGCCTCTCTTACAGAAATTACTGCTCCTGCAGCACATACAGCAGAATAAGCAGGTGCTGTGTCAGGTCCTCAACTTTTACAGATTGTAGCACAAGCTGTAGTCTGTGGTTTAAGTAGTTGAACTATGTATGTGTTACGCAACTTCTGCAGCAAGGTGCTTCACTACAAGGGTGAAACAGGTATCTCGGAAAAGTAACCAGTTCCATTGCTTCCGTGAAACCAAAAAAGTATTAAGTATCAGGGACTAAGAAAATTCATTGCCACGCCTCCAGTTTCAGGATTTCAAACATTGCATTAACTAGGTTCAGCTTGGTAACATAAATGGTGATGGCATCAGGAATGGTTGGAGCATCAGCCTTCATTTTAATGCCAATTAATCTATTTAGTTTTATTATTAGAGAAAATGCTGTGTTGTGCTGCTCTGGCAGCCGTCATGCCACAGCTTACCTTCCTGCATTTCATGTGCATCTATTGTCAATCTAAGTTTTTAAGAATTAAATCCATAACAAGTATTAAACTACTTGTAAAATTGTATTTTAAATGTTGTGGCATTTTTTTGTTCCGAACCTTTGTATTCACTTATTTATGGTGTTGGTATTTTTCCCCCCTAATAACTGTTAGGGATTTAAAAGAAGATAAAGCTTTTTTCAAATGTATATGAAAACTGAAATTTCCTGGTAGTTGTTTCAGGAACACTGTCACATATTAAGACTAGAAGTAGAATAGCAGTAAGTGGCAGCAATGTGCCTGATACACCTGAAGAAATTATTTACCTTCATCCTTTCCCTGTTTTCTAGGCAATCTGAAATGCATGCATTGGGCGGACTGGTGGTATTGGCCCATCTACGCTTCATTTCTCAGCTGGGGTGGAAAGGATTTTTCCTTTATTTTGTGTGTGTGTGTGTGTGTACATGTGATTATTTGCATGAATAGGTGTAACTAAAAGCATGATTCAAATGGGTATCTTCATTTATGTCTTATCAGCTCTTCCTGCACTTCTTATATGTATAGGCATTCAGGAATATGACCATCAAATATGATTTCAAATACTAAATAATCTTTCAGTTACTGTTTTTGTCTATTTCTTTAATGCGTACATAAGGATAAAGAGTTGGACCTAACAAGGTAAGGTGCATCTTCTGACCTTTGGAAAGTTCTGTCTTAACTGCTGAACAGAGAGTAGGGGAAAGAAAATTCAGAACAATATTGTATCCCAGCTCTTTGCTCAAACAGTATGCAAGTGTAAGAGATTATTTTTAGTGTTCTGATCCTTCTTAAGTAAATATTCAAAGTATTTAATTTGATTAACTAAGGTTAGTAATTTTTTTATAAGTAGTAAGTAGTCTGAGCTATTCCTTGTTGACATATGTTCAGATGCTGATTCATCACAGCACATAAATGTGTACTTGTATGCGGACATGTTTCATTAAACTAGGTATGGATTCTTCATTTGTGCATATGTTGAAATCATTCTAATCAGTAACCAAATTTCATTCATTCACTTACCAGCGCCTGAAAGAGAAGTTTCTCAAAATAATAGGAGAAACATCAAACTCATTGGTTGGGGAAGCCCTAACTTGTGCATTTGGTTAATAATATTTGATGGAAGATATCTGTGGGCTAGATAACAAGAGGTCAAATTTGTTTGTCATCTGAACAAATGGGAAAGTCAGCTTTTGATGGTCATTTTATGTAAGCTGAAGCAACCCTTCACTTGGTAGACCAGTTTAAAATAGAATGCGTATTTAATTTTAGTGACCTGGAGCAAGCTGAAATACATTGTTCTTACAGCATGGGTGGAGAAGATGAGCTGAGCGTTATCTAACCAGTCACTTCTGCTGAAAGGGGCTGTTCTGCCTCCAGCTATATGGCCCAGCCTCTTTCCTTATATCAGTGCCGCCTCTTTTTCTGACATCTTGCTGAGCTGGTTTAGCTCATTAGTCTAGCATAGGACTAAGGCATCAGATAAGAAGGAGCACTAGTTCTTTTCCCACTTCGTGAATTGTGTCAGCTAGCTCAGCATCTTAAAGGGTCTTAGAGAGTCTGGAGTCACACTGGAGAAGCAGGAAGTAAAATTACCCCTTTCAGCAAGTTAGCTGTCTGATGAGACAAGCTGTGCTAATCTGCTTACACCTTCACCCTGTAAGGAACAGTAATTGAAGTGGAATCATAATGATTGCAGTGGATACTTGTAGTAATATGTACAATGGGTTCTGTCTAGTAGCAGGAAAAGGTCAATAGGAGCATGTAGTGCTGCACAAATAGGTATGTTCATCTGCAAATTGCCGGAAGGTCCATTCCTTCTTCTGCTTTGGTACAAGTGTAAGAATTTTCAATTGTAATTGTATGATGAAAAGAAAGCCTCTTTGGAAGTGGATCAGTATTGCTTGAGTGCCAGGTTATACCTTCACAGGTTTTGTCTTGTTTGTTTGTTTTGGAAATACGTTTCCAAATTGCTAATATAATTTCTTAAACGGAAATAATTAATATGCAAGCAACTGTTAAGCAAGGTAAAATAATAGTTTCTGGCTAAAACTGGTTTGAAATTAAGGACTTCAGTAGTCAGGAAAAAAATGTCCTTTAGATTGATTAAAACTGGGTTTGTAATATCCCTTTTTTTTTTTCCTTCTCTTAAGGTCCTTGATGCCTCAACACTCAGCTTTGGTACTCGAGTCAAATGGTTTGCCATATGTTTTGTTGCTGGCATTGTGTGTTCTATTCTTGTAAGTAAAGTGATTCTGTGTTTGCTTTATCATGTATCCTAAATTTTGTATCCATAAATTTAACTGGATGGTAAATGTATAATTAGCATATAGGGGCTGTTATTTTGTAAATTATGATTTTGACCATCTTTCTGTGATTCACATCAGAGAGCATTTTTGTTGTAGCGTAATAAAATTTCTTACTAAAAGGTTTGAACACTGAAAAAATATGCAATAGTTTTAATCTAGATTTGTGAGTGGTGTACTAGAAGAGAGCTTTTGCTGTTGTTTGGTGTGTACCCATCTTATTTTTATTCTCTCCAATTAGTGGGAAAAAAGAGATGGAAGCTTGAAAGGTTTTTAAAGGCTGAAGAAACCACGAGTGTTACCTGTCACACTCACAAATCAATAGGTGATGACTGTGGTAGCATGTTGACACTTGAAAAACCTGCTGCACTCCTGTTGATCTTATGGTCAGCAAATCATTTGTTTATTCTTGAACTCGAGGTGTTGGCAGGAGGCTCAAGCTTGCAGTTAAAAGCTGAGAACTATTAATTGATTGAGTCTATCAAAAACTGACACAGGTAACTTGCAGTACAAAGCAGTTCATCTGCACAGAAAGTCTCAGAAGCAGGGGAAGTAACATTGCGAAAGTATCTGGACCCCCGGGTTTGTGTTTTTTCTTTCTTTTGTTTTCTTTCCACACCGAAGTAGCATGTTAGTTCTTCACAGAGCATGACTTTTCAAGTAAGCCAGTCAGTAGCCTTTGGCTAATGAGTGTGGATGACACTGGCAGTTTTTGTGGAGACTGTCAGGCATACTGCCTTGACTTGTAATGAGTTCTGGTGGTAGGATGGAGAAACTTGTCCAGTGTGCATTAGTTTCTGGTTTTGCCATTATTTAGATGACTGCTGTTGCTCTTTCATTTACCGTGGAAAGTTTTTAAACCAAAGAGACTTGTGTAATGACAGGAAGAAGCAGCTGTGGAGGAGCAACCTGTTGATTGAGGCACTCGCTTAGAGATAGGCACTCACTGGATTCTCCTGCAGGTGGAAGCTTCTCATTCTTTATCAAAACTTGTGGTTTGTTAGACTCCCTGAGACCCAGAGGCAAACCAGAACAATTGCTGGTCTTACCTGTGAGATGTTTTATTTAAGCGGTTATCAGTTCAATAAAGGAACTGGACAGTGGTGTTCTTCATATTGATATCTGTGCCAAGTACAGTGACACAAACTCTGGCCAGATGCTTGTGTTAGAGAAGGGGCAAGTTCTAGGGAGGGAGCTCTAGTTTGGGTTGGAATGTCCCTTTTGTAGGGTTGCTTAAGCATTATTTGGTTGACTCCCTCCCTCTTCCATTTTTTTCACAAGTAATATTTAACCAATATCACCACAAATTTTAGTGTACGCCAGGTTTGTGCTGTAACACCTATTTCTGGACAGGTTGACATCACATTTTTTTTCTGCCCTTTTTTTAGTGTTTAATCTTTGTGACTATTCTGTATCACATGGTGTGAAACTATGAAACAACAAATAAAAGGCTTTAGGATCTTGTTTTCCTGAAGTTTCTTTGAGTTACGTTGAGATTGATAGGTAAGAGTCATAACTCTGCTAGTTTTTGTGGGCATCGTATCTTGGAGAGTTTGGAGGCAGTTCCCTAGCTAAGCTTTGCCACATGAAGCCGAGAGCTGGCAACTCTACCTTCTTCTGCTTCAGAATATGGACCTTTTGGTATCTTTATTATGTTTTGGGCTGGCCAAAATCGCACGTGGTGTTTTTTCTTTAGTCTTTGCAAAGTGTCGCAAGGCTTTCCTTATAGAATACAATTAAACTCTTCTCTTGCAGCTTTCCATGGTTGCTTGAACTGTGGTCTCTGCAAACAGATAGCACAGAGTCCCACTGAAATTGCAATTGTGTAGAATATAGTTGCTTTTTTTTGCTTTGCAGGACACAGTGTCCACATCACAGCTTTGGGGAAAAAAAAAAAAAAGGAAAAAAAAGTTTAAAAACCCCAAACAAACTAAAAAACTACATTTTGCTTCTAGTTTAGGCTCTATTTCTCCCTGATCATCATAGGGACTGTGATCAGCAGAAGGCTTTGGATTTTTGTGTTTAGTGGAAATAAGAGATGTCTGGAAGTAAGAATTCTAAAATATTTCTATTCCGCCCTGGTGTGTATCTAGACTGCAAGTCCAGATGGTTGATTGGAGGAGAAAGGAGATGGTGGATATTAGCGTGGCTTTATGACTTTTTTCCTTTATGTGCAGAGGTTTATGATGTATAGTGGGGCACTGTAACAAAACTGAAAGTGTCGTAAATAGAATATAAATAGTACAAATAAACATTAAACCAATATATTGTCTAGTTGTAAAAATATTGTGAAATATAGTAAATCAATACATTATTTTGCCAGTAGGTGGCAATAGAAGTATGCTGAATGTTGGCTACTACAGATCTGAGAACAGTATACTCAGCTACCATATGTTAGAATGAGTGTCTTCATAGTCTGAAAATACATTCATAGACTATAAAATCTAAGTAAATTTAATTGATTAAAAGCATACAAATAACCTATCTTTTATAGGGAACAGCATTGCTATGGCTTCCAAAGGGGATCAAACTTTTTGCAGTGTTTTACACACTGGGAAATATTGCTGCATTAGCCAGGTATGATTTCTTAATCGTTATTAGAAAAGTATCCTCCTTTTCATCTACACTTCCATTTGCTTTTACTTTCAAATGCTGTCTGTTGATGTGTATAAACAACATTTTCATATTGAAATGCTGATAACATAAAATCTTGTTTGTCTTACAGTTTTAAGATTAATAATTAGTATTAGTTATTCACTTGTTATTGCCCCAGCGCGATGTTTTACGTGATTGTTTTGTGGACTCATCTCAACTATTATCCTAAGTATGAATAACAAATTGCTGGCTGAATGTTTTGTACTTTTTACAGCTAAGTCCTTCTGCCAGGTACAGAGGTACCTCAGTTTCAGGAGCAGACTGGTCTGCCCACTGTGTGGATGCTTTGTTACTGGGAGGAGCTTTTTGCTTTTAACAGAGATCATCCTGTTTCTAGGAAAACTCTTTGAAAAAGGAGAGGCTCAGGAAATTCTTATTTTGTCTGTAAGGCCAGACAGAATCTAAAAATCATTCACAGTGTATTTTAAGCTGTGTGTGTGGTGCTTTGCAGTGTTCCATGTAGCAGTTAGTCTTAAAAGATTTGCAGAAGGGACTTCCTGGGATCTAAAACTTTTCTTTCACTGTCTGAAAGATGTGTAAGAAACAACTTAATCTCAAGAAAGTATTTTAAATTTCTGTTTGTCCTCCTTCTCTTACTCTCTTAGCACAGTTGAAGCATGGTCATGGGGGTCATGGAGTCTGGTCTTGACTTTCATGGACTGTGACTTTAGTCAAGTTACTTGAGTCAAAGCATTGTTAATCTGTTAAAACTCAGGCAATGTGACCTTAACGTTTGAGAAATGTGATGGTGTACTGCTTTTGCTCAACAAATTTGTTGGGGTAAAAAGATGTTTATACTGGAACTGAATCTCTTGTTTGTAGAACTATTCCATCTTGTACTAAAACAAGACAAAAAGTTAATACTGGACGTAGGCAAAACTGAGTATTTCCCTTTCTCTTCCTTACCTTATTCTTCATTGTTTATTGTTGGGTTTTGTGGGGGTTTTTTTGTTGTTTTTTTTTTAACCTAGCAATTTGGGTGTCTTTTCACTGCTTCAAATTAAATGAGTATTTTAGAAACTTGTTACTAATCAAGTCTTAATTGTCAGTGAACTAAGAGAAAAGCTTTTACAGACTGGTATTTCTTTTTGGAGAATGCTGAAAAACTTCAGTCTGTATTCCAACTAAAATTAGAAGTGAAAAGAGGCCCCATTGCCTTCAGTAGTCCTTTTAGATATAAACAACAGGCAACTGTGTTCTAAGAACAGTAGGAAATGACAATAAAGTCCTAAATTGATAAGAAGATTTACACTTTTTCAGGTTTGTTTGCAAGTATGTATTTAAAACAAATGGAGTTACAGCTCTTAATAAATAGTCTGGGCTAGCCTGTTTTTACTATAATTTTCTAGCCACAACCATGAAAGCAATGATACTTACTTGATTCTTCTCTGGGATTAGAGTACCTCTACAGAGTGTGTTGTATATAGGAAATATAATGTGTAAGTGGAGGACCTCCAGATTTTTTTTCGCAGCCTTTCTACTCCCTGTGGATTCTCTCACATCTCTGGAGAAGCTCTTGTGATGTCTGTCCTTCAATGCTGATCAGGCTAGCATCAATGCATTTTGCTTTCTATATTTTTTTCTGCCTATTTTATGTGGCCTGAACCTCCCTGATTTTTACCACATTTTCATCATCCATATCCGTCCACTAGCTAACTAATTTTTTATTCTAGTTCTTCAGGTCTCCTCTTTTTTTTGTCTTAGTTGAATTTTATGCCCTGGCAGGCAAGATTAAAAAATACTGAGAAAAAGTTAGTTTGGATTGCAGTGAATTGAAAACGTTTTTTTTCTATTGAATTGAGAACACCTTTTTTTTCCATATAGTATGGCCTTTTGAGGTCTGTCTACGCAACTTAAAGAAAAAAAAAAAGCGAAGACAAGGGGATATATACATAAAGTTGCTGGTAGGAGAACATCTGGGGGTGGGAGACTGTGGGTTCAGTTTACTGATTGGGACATGGATTCCCATACTACTTCTGTTGTAGACGATGCATGCTTCACCAGGCTTGTGACTAGTTTCAGGAGGGAGCTCTACCAAACTCTTCTCTGCTACTAATTGTTTTATTTCATATAAATAAATATTAACTGGAAAAGGAGTTAAATTAGGTTTCGTGTTTTGTAGTAAAGCATTCAGAGCACCACAAGGTTACAGGCATTCTCACTGTCGCACTAAATACCTTCTACAAAGCAGAATGGCTTCAATGACAAGGAAGGAAGGGACTCATCTCAGAATATTTCAAGCCAGATAATTACTCCTATGGTTGTGAATTCTTGGTTCACATCACATTTTTTTGCATGAACACGTACGGCATAGCGTTGCTGATGGTTTTTATACTCCTTTCAAGTTAACTACAGAGTAGAAGAAAGCAGGAAGATTTAAAACAAATTACTGAAAAACTTCCTTCTGTTATTCCTTGCTGATTTTGGGCAAAGAGTTAGAGCTTCTCTGTAATATTGATTGTAGCTACTTGCATGCTGCTTGGGTAAGGAGCTTACTGTTAAACAGAAATTTTCTAAAGAAGTTTGGTCTTTGTATTCTTTGCATTCTTTTGAAAAGTCAGTTCTCAGAACAGCCTCAACATGAAATTCACTAGACTTCAACTTGACAATCCTCTGCTGTAAGTTGTAGTGTTTTGGAAAGAATTTCACAAACAAGGCAACTCCATACATAGTCTGTTTCTAGGACTAAATTTGTGGAATATTTCACTTTTCATTTTAGCAGGTCTTTGTTACTAAAGACTGAAACACTTTTTTAAAGCCTTTATAGTCATCTCTCTGTTGGAAAACTAGTTCATTACCTATTGTCTTTTGCAAAGATTTCTTTGAAAGTGACTTACTGTTTGTTTTGGTTTTTTCCCCTCCTATTAGTACCTGTTTCCTGATGGGGCCATTGAAGCAATTGAAAGCAATGTTTGAGCCAAAAAGATTAGTAGCTACACTTGTGATGTTGGTAAATATACTGTCTTTACTTTCTTTTGTTAAAAAGTTTTCCTTTAGCCTCAAAGCTAAATCTGAGGCTTTACTAAAGGGAGGTTATTTCTCAGTCTGCCTCTTCTTTGTACTGAGTAATAATATTAAAGCTAATTAACTCTGTGTTTCATAAAGATTGTCTAACTCCTTTCTATCATCCTGTGGTTTTGTTGCTTATGATTTCTTTTTTTAAATTAATAATTTGGAGTAAAATGCCCTTTGCTAATTATTTCTTACTAAATGCTAATATTAGGTTGATTATTTTTGTTTCCTCAAACAATTTCTTCAAGAACAAGGCTAGAGGGAGACTTCTTGGCTACCGTGAAAAGTCAGTGGTCACCAAGTCTAGCTTGACAGATGTTTGTTGGCTGCAGCTCTGTTTGTATAGCTTAGTGGTTCAGCACTTTCAAAGCAATGGAGAAAATTAATTTCTCTCCCCAAAATCCGGGAAGCTATATGTTCAGCTTCACACTTCTCCGTTGTGGGGTCCTTGGCTCCTTTATTTCCATTACCATCATTTCTTCTTCCAGGAGGATGGAAAAAACAGCCCTGTCCCCAGTCTCTGAGTTCCTATCCATAAACTCTATATTAGGTAGTTAAAAACAAGTTTCTGCCCTTGCTGCTTCTGTTTTGTACTTATTTTCTCTCTTGTTCCTCCTGATTTGTTTCAACTTTATTTTTGAAATGTAGTTGGCTGTCCTATTCGCCCTATCATATAGCTTTCTTTTCTAGTTGATTACAACTGGTGTGGATAAGTAACTCCTCGTGAATTCTTTCTGGATGGCTGTCATATGGGTTGTATATTCTTTCTGTCACACACCTGCATGAAAAAAAAGTTATAATCTCATTTGAGAAGCTCACATTTGCCCACATATTTTGGAGAAGTGACAAACCTTGCTTGGACTTTGTTAAAGAGGTGACTTTTTGCCATCTCTTCCAAATCATACCAAGTTACAAGTCCTAGGGAAGTTATGCTTCATAGGTCTACAGTAAAAACATCCAAGAATATCTCCAATTCCCTAGACTCTGTTTGCTGAGCATGAATTCACCAGCACTTTACAGCTGTGGGCATTTTCTGCTCAAGCTGAGGGCCTAAACCAGGCACTAAAACCCCTAGCTTAAAAATTATTTGCTCTGGCGACCCTGTCATCCACTGTGCTCGTACATGGTGACAAAGAAAACAACTTGCTTTGAAGGGTGTAGAAACAAGGCACATCAGGGAAATGAAAGGATAAGAAAGAGCAGAAAAAAACATCACAGAGCTACCTACATACCTGTGCAGACGAGCTGCCGACAGGGTTAGGAGAAGACAGATTGAAAGGTTTCATTTAATAGGAAATAGGAAGATTGGATGAGAACTAAGACTGTTAGGATGGAAAATTTCAGTAATACAGAGAAGAACTGGAAAACTTCTGAAGTTTAGAAAACTTTTGATGTATTTGAGTGTTTTCTTCCCCATCCTAACACAAAGCTAGAATTATAGGTGACTCAGGAGTCACAAATATGTTTGGAAAATTCAAGATGCTGCTATTTTTCTTTCTTTCAATGAAACACCAACAATTTTTTTTCAGTGAAAATTAATTGAGAGTTTTTTTCTGTTTTCTACTATGGGTATTGACAAATGGAGGGAGCCAGGTGAGATTTAGTGGAAAAGTTCAAAGTGATGGTTAAGCTTGCACAAATGGTGTGATTAATTTGGCATAGTAAACCATGTAATTGTAATGTTCCATCAAAGATGTAGCTTGAAAAAAGCTTCATGTGAGCTTTTTCACTGTGTATGAGGCGGCTGCTCCCTAGTGGGCTCTTCATTACTGTCAGAAGAAGCAGAGCCTGTGTTTGCCAAATACTGCAATTGTGAGTGGGTGTTTTTAATAATGGATTGCTCATGGTGATGTGCATACCTTTCTTGTCAGATGTTGGTGTTATGAATTCTGGATCCAAAATGATCCTATGTATTGAAATAATAGAATAGCAGTTCCCAGACTACTTGGTTGCTTTCAAGCAAGCTTTGTCATCTAAGCCCACCTCTTAATAGACCTAACACATAAGGCTACACAGACCTGGTTGTAGTCCTCATGGTTCCTGAAGTCAGATCCTACCTCCTCTTTCTTCTAAGACTTGTCCCAGCCCTTCTGGCCATGGAGCACATCATACTGTCCTTTGGAAAACACCACTTTACATGGAGTGCAGCATATAGTCACTGTGTGACAGCCTTTAGCTCTGCTTGTTTCATGAGTCAATTCTGAAAATGCTGATTACACATTGTAAACATGAAAACAGTTACTGTATTTGCTTTGTGTATTTGAGTATTCATTCTTTTATTTTTTTTTTTGTCATCTCTCCTTTTATCTCCGCCCAGCTTTTCCTAGTACTGACTCTGTGTGCTGTATTCTGGGTAAGTGAGAATACTTTGTTCCTCTAAAGAGCAATCTAGCTTGCTTAGTTTATTAAATTGTATTACAGCTTACAGTTCAGTTGCAGAGGAAAGACAAGCTCTTAGTTTATTAAATTGTATTACAGCTTTAACATACAGTTCAGTTGTAGAGGAAAGACAAGCTTGTGTGTGTGTGTGTTTGTGTGTGGAATTTGTTTTCAACTGCAGTTGAGTTTAGATGGAGTGATGAGCTTGCTCGCTACACAGCAAATGCACCCTTCTACCTGCCTGTGATGTAGATGAGAATACAAAATCTAGAGCATTACGTTCAGTCTGCAGACCTCTGGACTAGGAACTAAGAAAAGCAAGTTAAAATATACTTTCATCTTAGTGATGTGTACTTACGTCAAAGAATATCAGAGAACATGTAGTGGTCTTTAGAAACCATGCCTACAGAATATTAAACTGATTGAGACAAAGGAAGTGAGACAGAACAAGTACCTTCAGGCATCTTGAATGAAAAACTGGCTGTAGTTATGTTCTGTAGAAGTAAATATGTAACTGAAGTGAACTTCCGTATTTGCAGAAGTACAGTATCATGAATGAAAGTGAAAGTGTCAGCATTGATGCTGTTAAGTGTTTTCAAAGCTAGAGAAGGTTTTCATAGCATAATGTTAATGGAGTGACAGATAAAATTAATGGAAAGTTGTGAAAGAGTGGAAGGGAGTAGCAAATTATGTTAAGACAAGGGAATTTAGGCGTTGTCAGTTAACTAAATTTTTGGCTGAACAGGCTGTTGCAATTGTTTGCAGTATAGACTGGTACAAAATGAACTAACTTGCAATATTTGCTTGATTTTTACTTAGTGGAACAAAAAAGGTTTGGCGGTGTTATTCTGCATATTGCAGTTCTTGGCAATGACCTGGTAAGATTCTTAATTTTATTTTTTTCTCCCTGCCCCTACACCCGCATGATTATAAACCTATATATATATATATATTTATGCTTTGCATAACATAAGTGTGCCCAAGTGCTAGCCTCAATCTGTTTTTCTAAGCTAGGCTGTGTAACTTCAGGAAAATGTATATGCAATCGTCTTGCAAAAATGGTAATTTTAAGTATATGCTGCAATGCGTGAACTTATGAGACATTATGAAAGGAACATATATGCAAAAAGATTCTCATGCTTATTCTCGGTTGTGAAAACTGTATATTCATATGCCCTGCTTTTCATTATCTCCCTCTTTTTTGAGTTCTAACTGAATTTTTGTTTTTGAGGTGGAGGAAACTAAGTAACATTTTCATAGGGTGTGTCCTGGCCCAAGCATATTTAGCAGCACTGGGGAAAGAGGGGGTGGATGTGGGAGGGTAAATTTAGTGCAGCAGGTGCGATGATGACCGTCCAGATGTGCTCGAGGGCTGGGCTTAGGAATGTGTGAGCACAGTTAGGTGGATGCTTGCAAGCCTGGCTGAAGTTTTGGAAGTTACTGCTTTCTCCATGGAGATATGACTGAAAATACTTGGTCTCCTTGTTCAGGGGAATTAGTTGGTACGAGCTCTTAGGCGATCCAAGGTCACCACAGTTCTTGTCTGTACTTGCCCTGAATACACAGTGTCTATACTGAACTTGAATGTGAGGACAAATAGCCGTTTGTTTAGGATAGGGACTGTGGGGCATCATGCTGAGCCCAGGTAGATGCTTGATACTAGATAGAGGAAAGACTGCGAACTCAAACTGTCCTGCATGTTTACAGCAGACAGCTTCACATATGTTAATTTTCCTAGAGCTTGATCGGGCTGGGCATGAGAACAAAACACATCCTGGAGGCTTGCAAGAAGCAAATTTCAGAGGGTAATAGAATTATCAGCTGTTTGAGTGTTACAATTGTGGTGTATTATTTATACTACAGCATATATCTGTATTTAGGGCTACATAAATAATATGATTAGAAGATGTATATTTGCACAAGAATGTGTATTGTGTTTTAAACTGGAAAAAGTTGTCTCTATCATCTTGAAGAATACAGTTTTCCCAGAAATCTCCATTCCTTTTGAATCTAATGATAGTGAATCTGCTTTTTTATGTGCAGTAGAAGTTATGAACTATTAAAAAAAAAAAACAAACAACACAAACAAACATAAAAAAAACTCCCAAGGAAAAAGTAAAACAAGGAGTCCTTGGCGTATGTTTAGTTCTTGTCCAAACATGTTGTCTTTTCTTCCGTAAGCATTAAATTAAGTAGGTAATGTTGTTTAAAGTTTTGTTAGAACAAGTTGCTTTTATTAATGCTGGACTGAAGTGAAACAATTGGGTTCTAGGAGAGACATGAATACTCTGTCAAATATACTTTTTTCTCTTTTTTTCAGGTATAGTCTGTCATATATTCCTTATGCAAGGTGAGTCTGCATAATTACTTCCATCTTAACAAAAGTCACTTATCTTTGTGCTAGGGAGGAGGAAAACCTAACCTCCTCCCTTTCCTTTTTAATTTTTGGAAAATGACATAGCTAAACTCAAAATAATGCTTAATATAAACTTTAAATACAAGTAGAGTGCATAGTAATTATATTTGTTAAATCTCATTCTAGTTTTCACCACTGAAAAAGAATTTAGTTTTTGTTTAAAATCTCTAGTGATTTAAAAATGCACTGATGCAGTAGGAACTTTTCCAGTACTTACTTTAAAGATAACTTTTAGATCTGAGTTCTTAATTAAAAGCAAACAAACAAGCATTGTTTCAGCTGCTAAATCTACTTCTGAATTCCTCCATAATTTTTAGGAGAGGCAAAGGCAATGCTTCGCGCTGATTTTCATTTTGGCAAGCTTCTCACTTTCTTTTCATTCTTGTATGCACAAAAAGGGAATGAAAGCTAGCCAAACACATAGTGAAACTACATGCAAGTAAACAAACTGAAGAGTCTGTTTTTTCTATAATGTGTCACATTACATATTGTTTGGTCTATAAAAAAATAAAGTGCTTGCATGTCTGTATTTTACGTAATGAGGTTTTCTGTAGTGAAAGTGGGGAAAAAAAGAATAAAGTATTGCTTCTCGCTTTCATCTGATATCTTCCTGTAATGTTTCTGTAACTTTGCTGGAAAAAATTTATACTACAGATTTTTATTTTTTTTTTAAAGATTCAGATTTGATTTAGGGACGATTAAGCTGTATGTGTTTGGTATTTTGTTGGGGTTTTTTTTAAGATAGTAGTTGATAATTACAATGGATTAAATACTTTAACTGAACTCAGGCTTCAAGTTTTCATCCTACTATTTCTGACATCTCAAGCTAACGCAGTTAAAAGTAGTATTCTGAATTCTTGTAGTTCCTGTGACCACGTGACAGCCTGAGTAGGGTCACTCATTCTTTTTTTTTTTTTTTTTTTTTTCCTTAATGTTCTGCTCTGCACAGAAAGCAGAACAAGTTGAGCTACAAGTCACTGGTCTTTTCTTCCCTACCAACAGTACTTTACGTTCTGGTCGAAAAAAAACATTAGGTTATATGCATCACTTAATTTCTTTGGTTTTATATGTCTATTAGATTTTATAAGCCAAAGAACAGAATTTTACACAGGCTGCTTTTAGTAGTACAGTGATTTCTTAAGGGATTGCTGAGTTATTTGCCTATGTGTAATGCTATCATAAATTTCTTATGTAGGCTGCCTTTCTTACAGAAATAGGGATCTAAACCATGTTAAGTGCTAGAGAACTGTATTATGTAATTTGTTTAAATTATGCATTAATTGTGATTTCAACAAAATTATCATTACTTGGTTTAACTCTAATGGTTTACTCTTAACAGCAGTGTACTTGTTCATGGTTTTAGGGTTGGTTTTGGTTTGGCTTTTGTGTTGGTTTGTTGTTTCAGGTTTTTGGGTTTTTTTCCAATTAATGGTGGCATGGCAAAATAACCACAAACCAACAACAAAAAACCCCACCGAAACAACAAAAACCATACATACAATGACTTTAAGGAGTCATGATAGTATTTTTCTTCATTTTTCAAACTGACTAGCAACAGAATACGAATTCCACTCCCTAATAAGTTGTTAGATTTTTGAGAAAATGAAAAATAAAGGAGACTAAAGTGAGTGATCTAGGTAGTATAGTCAGAAAACAGTTTGTTTATTGTTGGTTAAGTAGACCGCTTCAGATCTTTCAAACCTTAAGGCTGAGCCAGCTCTTCATCCTGCGCTGTTAGTACCTGCGCTTCACACCCTTCAGGCCTTGGGTTTTTTTCCCCTGCAACATGCTGGTCTAACTCCGCCATGGTTCGGACTCACAGCACCTGGGCTTTGCTGGTTGTCTGGGTTTGGCGTGTTCCTCAGCCATGCCCGTGCTGGCCAGCCTTTGCGAAATAAGGCCTTGACCTTTGCTAAGCCACCAAGTGTGCCACAGAACAATTTTTAACACCGTGTCTGCATTTTAGCGCGTGCTTGAGTGTAAACAGTATGGAAGACTTAGACAATATGGGCAGACCTGAGCTTTAGAATGTGCTGGAGCCTTTGCTTTAGCTGGTGCTCTAGATGTACTCAACATGGCTGTTAAGATCCTGCATTTGATAAACTATGTATTTTTGTCTTTAGTTTATGTAATATTTTAAAATATATAAATATGTATCTAAAGAAAATAACAAGTAACTGACTTTTTTTTTTTCTTTTTAAAGGGATGCTGTGATTAAATGCTTCTCATCCTGTCTAGAGTAAATTTAAAACAGGAACCACTGTATACTTCAAAAGCCAACTTTATTCCTCTGTGAATTTTGCTTGGAAAACTATACTTTTCCACTCATGAAATACCCAGTAACAATGTAGTATTGTCCTTGCCTTTTCCATTGGGGGATTAAATAATTTTTACTAGAAAGTTTTAAAAATTAATTGGGTGAACTGTTTGTGTTTACCCTGGAACTTCTAAGGTTGGTTTGGTTTTTTTTTTAACAAAAAGAGTACATTTAAATACTTTGTGCAGAGTAGTCTTAAAACTACCTTGCATCCAGTAACAGTTTATTCCCCAGTGGAGGCAAGCCACTAAGATCTGGGTAGCGTGCATAAAGATTTAATTTAAAGTTCTGTCTAAAATTTTCAATGTGCCATTTATGTTTGTATATTATTCATTGTGTGCTTTTCCAAAGACAGAGTTTTATAAATGTTGTAAAGATTGGGTAAGTTATAATTAACTGCTCCTTTGAAATGTCTATACATGTGCCTTATGGAAAGAGCTTAATGAGAATATGTGAAAGATCTGTTTAAACCTTGTTAGATTTTATTAAAAAGCTATATTTTAAACATTTTTTTTTTTACTTTCATACTTAAATACTGTTACTAAAAGAACCTATGGCTAATGTATAAATGAGATTTGTGAAATAAATCAGTTTTAAAGGTGCCTAAACTACTTTGTATTTGGGAATCTGCTATAGAGAGGTGAATTTCAGCATTACACTTGAATAAATTCAAAAATATATTTAAAAAATGGGATATGTGTATGACTATATCCGAATTTGGTTATCAGATTTGCAGAAGTGACTTTAAAACTTCTCTGCGTCAGTATTTAGACAAACAGTTCATTCTGACTTAAACTGATAATGGATTGAAGTGAAATACCGTAATACTCTGCCTAGCTTCAGTAAGAAGTTCTCATTTCTCCTTTTTTGCAACTATGAGTTATTCAGGAGCACAGTTAAAATCTTAATGTTTGGCTGATACTATGTTACAGGAGGTTCTTTTTAGCACAGGGAGTGCTTGATTACCTGCCTTCTAAATCCCAGTTGTTTTGGATTTCGTTTTCTGCTAATCCACAAACAGAAGAAGGAAGGAATTTGAAAAGATGTGAGCTTAAGTGTCAAGAAGGGGAAACCCCCTCGTCCTTTAGTATACAGAGTTCAGGCTAAGGGGCAAATTGCAGTATGTTCCTGTTAAATCTCAATGTATGTTGCACAAAATAGCAACATCTTTTAGGGTGGGCTGTATAAAGGGTGATTGCATGATTTTGCAGCTAAACTGCCAACCAAGCCTCACCTTTTAACTGATCAGTAACACTAAATTGCCCAGTGAGGCATCCTTCCTGCTGGTGGTACGGGACCAGGCATTCCCGACCCTGCGGCAGGCTCCTGGGCTCGTCAGTACTGTGTGGTGTAGCGACAGCCTCTTCAGCTCTGCCCGTCACAGCCCTTGCGTGCTGGTGGACACTTGACTGAATTTGCAGTTCCTTTTAGTCTTCAGTTTGCGTTGAAGATGAGCTAGTCCGTGCGTAGGTAGTGATGGATGTCATCCTGAAAATGACTGTCACAGCCCCTTACCCAGTTGCTGTTTCCTGCGGGGGCACTGACCGTAACTGGCACTGAAGAGATCCCATCCCACGAGTCAGTGCTCCAGGGTTGGTTTTGCCCATCGACCACCAGTTCTGGTACATGATCACCTTCACTGTAATTTTTAATTAGAATGGTATTAATCATTCAGATTTTTTATTTCTTTCTTTAGGCACTGTGGTAAATAACAAAACTAACACCCATTAGTTAACATCAGTATTGGATCACCAGAACAGAATTGGTTCAAGAACTGAAGTCCAAAAATTCCACGTACTGGTGTGCTTTTATGTGCACGTAGATCTGTGGTATTATGTGTTTTATATATTTTTCTCTCCTGAACGCTTACGGATTCACTTTCTTCACCTGCACACAGAGCACACATGCTGTGCTCTTTCGTCAATACCTTTTGCTCCTTCACATCCAATTTTTGTTTGCTGTGTATCAATATTCCAAAGTTCACAGCTGATGCATCCTCATTGTGTGACACCCCTTTCGTGACAGCATGAAACCACAGATGTGGAGATCTCTGTCCCTGTGGATTGCATAGATCCTACCCATCTTTTGATAAAATTCTGGTATGACTCCTTAGACAAAATTTTGGAATGGTAGTAATCTTGGATTCACAGGAAATTCGTGCTTCCTTATTCCTACTACTAACCTTGTTATTGTCTAGGGTACTTGAAAAGTTAGGGAATGACTGCCACCTTCCTCCTCAAAAAACCCTGTAGGTGTTGAGGAAGGAACTGAGGCTCGGAAGCAGGATCTCTGGTCGAGGCGCTGCATTACCAAGCCAGGCTGCTCTTGTTCTCAGAGGACAAGCATGTGTATTTTGGAATTTCATGTAGGTGCAAGTCTGCTCTAGGTCTTAGTGGGGCTGACAGTACTCTGCTCTTGTCTGCCTGCTGTTATTCACGGTAATTCAAGCAGTCGAGGAGCTCAAAATATCATCATCAATGCTTGGACGCTTGAGGACTTTGGGAGGAAGCGGGAGCCTGCCTGCCCTGGGGGCCGTGAGCC